TATATATATATATATATATATACACACTTTACACACTTTTCACACACACACACACACACACACGCACAGACACACACACACACACACACACACACACACACACACATATATATATATATATATATATATATATATATATATATATATATATATATATATATATATAATGAAATGGACTACGTCCGACAATTATTTTAATATATTTTTATTTGTATGTCATTTTTATAGATATAAATATTTAAGTAAATGCTCTGTTTATAATAAACAGTATTAACAACATTTACCGGCCTGGATGTCCGAGAAATCTCAAAGAAAATATATCTCCTTTGACAGGAATCGAACCTGTATCCAGTGAGAAATTGAAAGAAAGAAAAAAAGGAATGGCAGATAGAAGTGTTTAAGGTCTGTTTCAGTGAAATAAAAAAAAAAAAAGGTTTCTATCCACTTCTTAAAATAACAACCATTATTCAAATTTATGATTGTTTTTTTCAATATTTTGTTAATGTTGTCAAGCCCAAATATTTAACGACGCGATTTCTACGGATATTTTATTGTTGTAGAACTCGCCATGATCTTATTGAAGAATTAAGATTCGTCAGATAATTCAAATTGGAAAACCCTGATATTTTCTCGGGAATTTCTAGTATAGTAAATTGATAACTTCCATTGAAACACGTCAAATTATTAGAATTTGTCGTGTTTAAAGTTGAGTAGGTTTTTGTAAAGAAAATACACCCCGAGAAAACTAGAGCTTCAACAACAGGTTGGGTGATTTTGTTTAGCGACATATCAACACCTCTATGGGTTATTTAATGCTGACAGCTAAATATTTTGTACCTAATTTTATATTTTCAGGGTAAAAGTTGGTAAAACCTCCTACAGAAGGTAGCGAATGAGAGAAAGAAGAAGGGACTAAGCACAAACTACAAGAATATAGAATGCATGGCCATCAGTAAAAAGATGAGCCTTAAATGCGATTTACAGGTTGGGGGACACTAAATCAAGGAGGTGCGGGAATTTAAATATCTGTGAAGTATTTTGACAGAGGACGGTAAGTGCGACGCTGAGATCCGAAGACATATTGGGATGGCCAAAGACGCATTCCAAAAGCCACAAAGAGAATGAGAGAAAGTAAAAGGTCAACAGACAGAGAGAGATAGAGAGAAAAAAAGAAAGAGAGATAAATGAAAGAGACAGAAAGAAGGAAGAGAGAAAGTGTGAGAGAAATAGACAAAGAGAGAGAGAGAGAGAGAGAGAGAGAGAGAGAGAATAAATTTTTAAAAAGCCTGTGAAAAAACGAAAACTTATATATTAGTACAGAAATATAACTAAATGTAGTAGTACATTACAATAAAGAAGGCGACATACATACATTTTCGGCTAAGTGTCCATTCGATTAAATCTCCCTCGGCCCTTAAATAGATATCCGCGTCTTAGAAGACGCGATACCTGAGGTTCAAAATGAATTTTTAATAATAAAAATCTTTAATTTCAAGTGATAGTTTAAATTTAATATTTTTAATAAGTAAAATAATATGCTGTATTTCAAAACTAATTTAAATTGATTGTAAGAAGTTTTCGTTTTGAAAGTTCTAAAATTGTTGAATTTCGCGCCATTTTTTAGCAAACTATAATAAATTTTAAACATGGTGTTAACTGTATTATTTATGTTTACCTAAAAAACTGTTATGATGTTGATTTGGTGTTAGTAAAGACAAACGCCAAATAACACGTAACAATAAAAAGGGGTTTATTAGGTTGGTAAGTAGGTACAGAAATCGCCTGAGTAGTGTATAACTAACTCAGCCAAGAACTTCTCCGACTCTGTCTGTCTTTTGACATGCCACTATTTAACGTCTTTGTTTGTAGACAAGTTCATCTTCAAGAGGGGTGGTAGGTTTCCTACACAACAAAAACCATCAAAATTTTGGTTAAATTTCTTTTTCTTGTTTCATCGGGTGACCATAAATTAGTATTGAAAATTTTAGCGTATTTTTTTGCAGGGAAAAACACATTGATTTGGAAATTCATGCAAAAATCAAATAATTGTTCGATTTTAATAAAACTTTCAAGAGTATTCCCAAATAATTGAAGTTATTTTAGAATTGTTTTTAGAAAATCCAGGTAAAAATATTCTTTACATCTATTACTCCCCCACATATTTAATTTTATGTAATTCCGATAAAATCATTTTTGTAGGGCTTAAAGTTTATGCTAGTTATAAGCACAAGCACCTGGAGAATTTAAATTATCATGTCTTTTTTGTAAAACAAGGACCCTTGTTTAATAAAAATCTGTTCTGAACCGTAAAATAGAAATGCAATGAAACTAAGACATTATTTAATTAGAAAAAAAATCTTTATTTGCTTTTATCAATTATGGACACTATTTTCTTAATAATCGATGAATAATGAATTTTGCCAATATATTTCATGCTTTAGAATTTCAGTTAGAATAATTGATAAAGTTTTAAGTCTTTTAAAATTTTATGTTAGTTTGTATCCGTTAGGTGATATTGTTATCAAGTAAAAACTATATTTACTAAACATAAATATAAGAACTTGCTACAATCAGCTTTTTTTGTGTGTATAAGGGTGTTGATTTTTTGTAAATACTGACATCCATACGCGTCATTATCAAAAAATAAGAGCCGTAACTATACAAAATTTAAAAGCAAAGTAATTCAATAAAATATTAGATTACAATAAAATATTAGATTACTTACAATATTTTATATAAATTTATAAAGATTATATATATATATTTTTTTGACGTTCAACTTAACGTCAGAAAACGACATTTTTTTTTGCACCAACCTCGAATATACATATGTATATATATATAAATGGATATATAGGAAATATATAAATATATAGGAATTTAAATGGAATAATAATAATAAAAAAAACGAAAGAATATTAATCTACAACCCAGTGTGTCTAATGATTTTAATTTTTTAATTTTTAATTTTCTTATTGTTCAAAATATATATATATATATATATACACACACACACACACACACACACACACACACACACACACATATATATATATATATATATATATATATATATATATATATATATATATATATATATATATATAAATATATAAAATACTCATGTTATATTCTTCAAGTAATTTTACAGATATGTCCTCCGTAGAAAATATTTCCAAAACATGAGCCTACCGAGATAGTTGTCAACACCTCATAAAAAAACACCCATCTAAAAATAAAATACTTTTCTGCAATATTTTAAACTAAAAGTAATATTTGTTTCAAATCATATTAATTAAACTTTAAATCAGCTAATGTTCATTAAATAAAGTTTCAGAATAATATATTCTATTTTTGAAGTACACTGTGCTGATAGATTTGTAAATATGACTATAATCAGCCATTTATTTACAATAAAAATAATTCCAATAATTTTAAATTCGTTCTGAAATACAACCAAGTATTTTGCTTATATAAGATATTAAATTTAATCCATTACCTTGAAAATGAAACCAAAATAAAAGCGTCAAGAAATATTTGATTTTTTTAAAAATAGATTTCAAACCTTAGTTATCGCTTGGAGGAACATATATGTATATGTATATTCTGATTGGTCATTCCAGCTTATGTAACAGCGTTTCCTCTAGGGAGGGATGTTTGATTGATTTGAAGCTTTTAAAACCCTTTTACTCTATATTAAACACCATCACTTGATAAGACACCAGAAGTGTTGAAACAAAATGGCTATTTTTGTAGTGATTTTATAACATATTTATGCTATAATTTTCGAATAAATAATTATATACAAATTTAGTTAAAGGCGAAAGACAAAGTACCGTGATTAAGCTTTTTATTTAATTTTTCTTGTATTCATGCAAGTGTTTTCATTTCTGGACGCAGAATGTTTTCCAAACACGGTCAGCACATTTTAGCCGTGTTCATAGGTAATCTTATTTAGTGTTGCTTTTCCTTTATTCTTTATTAGTGCTTCCATTATTTTTAATCTTTTCTTTTACATATGGATGTAATTAAGATTTATGTACGTGTCTAACGTTATAGGAATGGTTTATTTTCCAAACACGGTCAGCACATTGTGGCCGTGTTCATAGGTAATCTTATTGAGTGCTGCTTTTTCCTTTATTTTTTTTTATTAATGCTTCCATTATTTTTAATCTTTTCTTTTACATCTGTATGAGGCTATTATTCTTGCATTTTTCAACTAGTATGTTGCGAATGGAGTTTGGTACGTTTAAATATATATTGAGAGAGAGAGAGAGAGAGAGAGAGAGAGAGAGAGAGCGAGAGAAGGGAGAGAAAGAAGATTATAATCTGTTCAACATTTATACGCAATTGTTGGTTAATGGTATTTATTCTGCATACAACAATCATATACTTGGGTATATATATATATATATATATATATATATATATATATATTCTCTTAATTCTCATTGCTTTTTTTGTCGTGGGTTGCGAAGGTATGACAGAATCATGCTTCTCAGGATTCTCTTTCTTTCGTTCTTTGCTTTTTACTTCATTAAATTCTCGCCCCAAACTGCATGTCTACCTGGAAATAAACAGGTCAGCCTGTCAAACGAAAACTGAAAAGACGCCATCTTCACAGGCAATGAAATGGCATGAGGATATAAAATGAAGTTTTCATTTTTAGTCAGTAAAACTTTATCGATAAAATCTTTTAGAAAAAAAAAGGTCTACATCAGATTATATAGATATAGATATTTATACATGTGATTTAGCAAGCTTTTTGTTCACAGGTCGGCATCGTAAATTCCTTTCTCTGTTGCCAGAAATTTTTTTTTCATTGAATCTAAATAATTTCACTATTTTTATTTGTGCCATCTAACTTCAGGCCGTACGTAATCATGGCTCTCTACAGATTGCTTTTTCTTTATTAACTGTGAATAAACACCACTACGAATTGGCTGTTCGGTCAATGAATGCCAAATGTTTCCTTGTAGCGAAGTGGCTAATATTAACAGTATCTATCTATCTATCTATCTATCTATCTATCTATCTATCAGTGTTAATTATCTGTCTATCGATCTCTCTCTGAGTGTCGATTATCTATCTATCTATCTATCTATCTATCTATCTATCTATCTAATTATCTATCTATCTATGTTAATTATCTGTCTGTCGATCTGTCTCTAAATGTTGAGTATCTATCTATCTATCTATCTATCTATCTATCTGTGTTAATTATCTATCTATCGATCTGTCTCTCAGTGTCGATTATCTATCTATCTATCTATCTATCTATCTATCTGTCAAATCTATCTGAAAATTGATCTGTGCATGAAACTCAGAGTCCTTCTACAGGTGAAGAAAATCAGGTATATTTATTATTAACTATCTTAAAAGCCACATTCCGCGCTTATACTTAGCTAGCTCCTGATGAGGGTTAGTCGCGTGACTCTTCCCGCAACTAAAGGAACCTCTGGTCTCGCTTAGAAAACATCAACGATAATTTTGAAGAAATAACTTTGAACACTTCAGTTCACTCCATGCTACTTTAAAACCTTACTTTAACACTGATTCGGGCAAATAGCCCAAATTCCTGCCAAAGATCCAATTTGGGCCGAAATTCGAAATCAGGTCGAAAATTGAGTTCTTCAAATCACACACTCTGAGGAACATCAAAACTTCAAGTCACGAAATTATGTTTATATCATGGCACGTGTAACTGGAAAGGCTAAAAGAGAGTGAAAAGGCTAATATCAATACTGGAAAGAGCGATAACATCTACTGGACTTAAGAAATCTGTTTTCCTAAAAAGTGTTTTAAGAGAAAGATTTTATAAATTTAATACGAAAGCAGTTCTGTCTGCTCGGTGAATGAATGCCACATGTTTCCTTGTAGGGAAAAGGCTAATATCAATACTGGAAAGAACGATAACATCTACTGGACTTGAGAGACCTGTTTTCCTGAATAATTGTTTGAAGAGAAAGATTTTATAAATTTAATACGAAAGCAGTACTGGCTGCTCGGTCAATGAATTTCAAATGTTTCCTGGTAGGGAAAAGGCTAACATCAATACTGAAAAGAGCGATAACATCTACTGGACTTAAGAAATCTGTTTTCCTAAAAAGTGTTTTAAGAGAAAGATTTCATAAATTTCACCGGAAAGCAGTACTGGCTGCTCGGTCAATGAATGCCAAATTTTTCCTTGTAAAGAAAAGGCTAATATCAATACTGGAAAGGGCGATAAAATCTACTGGACTTGAGAGACCTGTTTTCATGAATAATTGTTTTAAGAGAAAGATTTTATAAATTTGAAGCCAAAGAAATACTGGCTGCTCGGTCAATGAATGCCAAATGTTTCCTTGTAGGGAAAAGGCTAATATCAATACTGGAAAGAGCAATAACAGCGACTGGACTTGAGAGACCTTTTTTCCGAAGAAATTTTTAGAGAAAGATTTGATGAATTTAAAACTACATTAGTACTGACTGCTAGGTCAATGTTTGCTGAAGGTTTCCTTATAATTTAAAAAAAAAATTTAATTGGTATCAGTACAGCCACTATCAAGCAAGGGGTTTTAAGGTGTGGAGGAATTAGGATCAGAAACATTAGTAATGGGGAGAAAGCGACATTGCATTTTAAGTTTTACAGATTAAAATTGGCTGGAAAGTATGGAGCCGGGAAGGAGTTCCACTAGCGAAAAGTGTGTGATAAGAAACTTTCAGCTTAGCGTAGTCGGGATCATTTCTCGCTGTATATTATGAGTTATGACAGGTCTACATACAGTTTTGAATTCAAGGTTACTTTAAAGAACACAGTCTGCCCTGGTGGGGGAGAAGAAGAGGGTTCATGCCTTTCCCAAGTGTATTAGCACGTAAGTGAATGTAATGAACTTGACTGGAATTCGAACTCGGATCTCCAATTTCTCAATCCGAGCCTCAATCATTACTAAACCGTGCCTCTTCAGGCCAGAAGAGTTGGATTCATGCCTTTCCCAAGGTTATTAGCACGTAATTGAATATAATGAACTCGACTGGAATTCTAACTCGGCTCTCCGATTCCTCAATCCAAGCTGCAATCCATTACTCCACCGTGACTCTTCAGGCCAGAAAAGGTGGATTCATGCCTTTCCCAAGGGTATTAGCACGTAAGTGAATGTAATGAACTCGACTGGAATTCGAACTCGGCTCTCCGATTCCTCAATCCAAGCCACAATCCATTACTCCACCGGGCCTCTTCAGGCCAGAAGAGTTTGATTCATGCCTTTCCCAAGGTTATTAGCACGTAATTGAATGTAATGAACTCGACTGGAATTCGAACTCGGCTCTCCGATTCCTCAATCCAAGCCACAATCCATTACTCCACTGTGCCTCTTCAGACCAGAAGAGTTGGATTCATGCCTTCCCAAAGGTTATTAGCACGTAATTGAATGTAATGAACTCGACTGAATTCGAACTCGGCTCTCCGATTCCTCAATCCAAGCCACAATTCATTACTCCACCGCGCCTCTTCAGGCCAGAAGAGTTGGATTCATGCCTTTCCCAAGGTTATTAGCACGTAATTGAATGTAATGAACTCGACTGGAATTCGAACTCGGCTCTCCGATTCCTCAATCCAAGCCACAATCCATTACTCCACCGTGCCTCTTCAGGCCAGAAGAGTTTGATTCATGCCTTTCCCAAGGTTATTAGCACGTAATTGAATGTAATGAACTCGACTGGAATTCGAACTCGGCTCTTCGATTCCTCAATTCAAGCCACAATCCATTACTCCACCATGCCTCTTCAGAGCAGAAGAGATGAATTCTTGCTTTTCCCAAGGGTATTAACATGTAAATGAATTCGAACTCGGCTCTCCGAATCCTTAATCTCTGCCGCTCTCTGTTACTTCACTGTGCTAGCTGGTTAAAGATAGGAGTGTGTCCAGTCATATTTAGGGATGAGAGATCAGCTGTACTGACTAAATGTCACCGGTACAGGGTTACTCTTATAGTCAGTCCCGATAAAATATTAAAATATGAAAATATATATATATATATATATATATATATATATATATATATATATATATATATATATATATAAAAGGCAGGACGTGTGTGTAAGGAATGCACGTCCGCAATTTTCGACGGATTTGCACCAAAATTTACATGCACATGCTCCAAGTTAGCGGTAAGGCCAAGACCAACTTTGCATTTTCCAACTCCCATCGATAGTGGAAATAATCGATTTTTTTTATTCTTTTACGGCAGTTTTGATGTAGTTTGCGGCCATTTTCTACTGGCCAGAGTGAGAGCCTATAGCTGGCTGCCACTAATAGGAAGAAAGATTATATTGGCCAGCGTGAGAGCCAACAGTTGACTGACACGAATGCTATCATGCAAAAAAAAAATCGATAGCTGCATTCTTCACAAGTGGGAAAAATTTAAATCTGCATGGCACTTTACTCCAATTGGCTCATTTGCTTGCTTAAACTCAACGTTGATTCTGATTCCGCAGAACTGGGTTGGATGTGAAAAAGTATTTGTTGTTAACATTTTTTTCATTCGGTTTTTCTCGTTACGAGTCCTTTTTTAAAGCTGATCGTTTTGTGTTCATTTTATTTAGTTCTTTTTTTTGTAACAGATTTAATGTTTAGTATAAAGCTTAGAAAAAATTCGCAGTGTGAGATAGGCAAGAAGTAAGGCATGTAGTAACATCAGCACCACAAAAGGCACTCCTTTAAAGGCAAGGAAGGGCAAAAATATTTTAAATCAAGTGATAGCGATTGCTGTATGAGTTTTTGAATCAAGCACGGGCAACGCCGGGCCATGCTGCTAGTGTATATATATATATATATATATATATATATATAAAAGATTTAAAATCTAAATAAGGCTTTTGCTTTCCTTTAACCCCCCCCCCCTTTCTCTCTCTGTATCCTCCACTCTCGACTAATGAGACGGCAACTCTCAAATAAAAAAAAGATGTAGAAGAAAAGAATTAACCCGTCTGCAATATGGCGGAAGTTTGCTGGTCCAGATTCTGGGCATTTCTGACTAAAACCTATCAAAATTCAGAGAAGCTTCACGCATAACTTCCGCTGCATATATATATATAAAATATGAAAAAGAAAGGAAAATCGGAAAATAAAATAATTTTGGCCAATCAAAAAATTTATACAGAGACTTTTGATGTCAGCCAAAACCAAGGTTATCGCCAGTAGACTGGAACTCTTGTCAAACGGATACAACTTGATAGCCTTCAGATGAGGTAAAGGGATCGCCAGATAAACCGGAGCAAAAGAAGGGGCAGCTAGAGAAACCAGCCATGCGTGACTCGTGAAGAATTTAATCGGTCATCTGCTTAAGATATTTTTCGCTCTTCTTAGTACCGAACCCCCCCAAAAACAAAAAAAAAATAAAACAGTAGATTGACCCCTCCCTATTTCTGACACCGAAACATCCTACTGTGGATCCAAAATGGAATTTCTCCAGACTGCTACCAAGATCTGCCTCATAAATGAAGTTTTGTTACACCAAATATCAAAGAACTCATTTTAACCTAAATTAAATAAATAAATATATATTATTTGTTCATACCTTATACCAGGAGTTGCCAAACTTTCTTAAGACTTACATATGATAAAGTGAAAATGTTTGAGAGCCTCAAGACATGAACAATATTTACACATATATTTTTGTTACATGTACATTAACATTAAACTTATGTTTTAATCTAATGGGGTCTCAATTCATACCCAGTAAATAAAGCTTGATTTTTTTTATTTTCCTTTTGTATTAACTGTGATGAAAAAAGGAGCTCTGCCAACATATTTTCGCGAGCCGCATATTAAAGATAAGAGAGCCGCGTGTGGCTCGCGAGCCGTTGATTTATACCTGCCTTATGCCCTTGAGTGTTTTTTTCATTTTTTTCTTTTTCAAGATTTTCGATAAAATAATACCATGCATATCCAGGTAAATATGCACACAATAAACTCTTTTATAATAATAATACATCTGTACACACTCAAGACCCGCAGACTCCCTTAGGAGTATGGGGAAAGAGCTCAAAAGTTCCGAAGACACTCTGATGAATATGGAACCCGCAGCTCATAAGCCCTGTAGACTGTATGAGGAGTATGAAGCAAGAGCTCTCAAGTCCCGTAAACTCCCTGAGGAGTACGAGGCCACAGCTTACAAGTCCCGAAGACTCCCTGAAGAGCATGGAGCCGAAACTCACAAGCCCCGTAGACTCACTGAGGAGTATGAGGACGCAGCTCAAATCCTGTAGACTCCATGAGGAGTACGGATCCACAGCTCTCAAGTCCTGCAAACTTCATGAGGAGTAC